TCAACTCCCAGAATTCTCCCATGCTGGCTGGGGGAATTCTGCGAGTTGAAGTCCACTCGTCTTAAAGTGGCCAAGTTTGGACAACACTGATTTAAATGGTTAACTCCTGCCTCTAGAAGTTTACAAAAGAGGTTTAAAGGAAGTTTCCAGTCTGCAGATTTTCATTCCACTCTATTAGAAGTAGCAGTCTTTCTTTTTCTAATGAGGGATACTAACTCCTCCTACATTCAAATCAAGCTGGAAGAATGGAATAAGACGGGTAATTAACAAACGCGAATTACTACCAGAATGGAATTAGAAGTGTAATTAGTGAAGAAAGCTTTTGATAGCAACGAGTCAAATACTGCATATCCTCCCCACTCCCCCACCCCAATCTTGTTTTTAAATGCATTAATTAGAATGAAAGCCTTACCTGTCCCCCCTTAGGCTGATACTTGATGTTGTCTGTTGACCCAACTTTGGACCTGACGTTCTTGAGATCTGGTAGAGGTTGATTAATCACACGAAGTTGCTTAGGGGTTGCTGGAGATTTCGGAGGTGTGCGTATGACAGCAACTTTTTTCTCAGTGGGTACCAGAATAGCAGAAGTGGGAGTACCTGGTGTGTGTGGGGTTCTGGAATAACTAGGGGTCCCAGGTGTTCCTGGGGTACGAGAGGAATAGCTAGGTGGGGTTCCAGGAGTGATGGCAGTTGATCCTGGAGTAGTCGGGGTTGATGTACCACTTTTTCCTGTTCGGCTTCGAATAGGCTCTGATCCTGTATTGATAACAGAATTCTGTTTGTTCTATGATACTCATACCATTTTCCTAGGGAGAACTGGCATCTAACAGTTCATAAAAGAACCTGATTGCATGATTATTCAGTCTTTGCTAAAGCTTTCTGAAGATTAGGGTGACACTTAAAATTGAACAATATCTCACTAAATGACAAGAACCTCATGGACTACAAACCAGTTGGGATTTAAAGCAAATTAAAAATTAATAAAATTGAATATTTGCAATTATATCTTTCATAGTTTATTGATCCCAAATGTAAGAAGAAATCAATGAAAATGAGAATTACAGATTATTTGAACCTTAATACAGACTTAGATCTTCAACATATGCCTCCTCTATTTGCTCTCCTCTCCTAGCTTCACTTCTCCCTATGGATACCAGATCTGGCTTGCAGATACAGAAAACTTACTCATGATTAGTGGACATCTGGATGTTTGCAGCCCAGACCCAGTAGCCCTACCTGTACCTCTAAATTATGCTTAAAATGTAGAACCTCTTCACAAGTTGGGAAATTTCTTCAATCAAAAACATTATATTTTACACAATGCAAACCATTCTTTTCCATATATAGTAAAATTCTGATATCACATATTTACAGGAACTAATATAAACTAGACAAATAGAAACTTAGGATGTGTCCAGGCAGTACCTCTTTTCTCTTTTCCAAAACACAGACCTTCCCTAGCTTTTTAAAAAGTATCTGATTACAAGAGAACCCATATGATTTTAATATACCTAAAATGTTTTATCTGATCTGGTAGTAATTTAAAATTTAAAACTGGTAGTAATTTAAAAGGCAAAAAGACAATCTGCTTAACACAAAAGATAGAAGCAATCTAAAGAATAAACTTTTATAGAGGTGGTAGTATGTAACACATTCTTGTTACAATAGAAACAAAGCTTTGATTCCTGCATTACAGCAGGATTTGTAGGTATGACATTTAAAGATGGAAATATTTTTGTTTCAAAGAATCTCCAATTTTATGAATGAGAATAAATTTCATAGCAAACATTAGTATTAGCTCTTTTTTCCAAAGTGTTTCATTTAAGGTTAGCAGAACAACTATGCTAAACATTTAAAACATGCTGGTAATCTTATTGCTAGGAAAGCACAAATAAGCAAAGTGAGGAAAGTACCATAAAAGTAACTTTAATAGCTAAGAAAAGACTATAATATACACTCCCTATGCTATTTTCACTATAACGTATTACATAACTTATATATACACAGGGGTGTTATCTTGCTGATTTGTGAGAACCAGTTGCTAATTTTTCACCTTTCCACCTGGCCTTTGGCAGGATATGGTAAGCAGTGCCAGAGCTCCACTGAAGGCATCACAGGTGATTAAGTTACATCTGGAGTGCTAAATGCAAAGAAGGGCAATTGCCTGTTGTGGGCAGAGATCTGTCGTGCATTGGTTACAGAGAGCCTGCCTCCTGCTGACTGGCTTCCTTGTCCCTTAGCTGAGCAGGAACTGATTGCTGTGTAATTTAGATATCATCTCTGGTCTAGAACCTATATCCTCAGCATGGTACTGTGGCCACCAATGTATCCATAAACATTTCTCTTGAAACCAGCCAGACTCTATGTTTCATCTCATCTCATCTCATCTCATCTCATCTCATCTCATCTCATCTCATCTCATCTCATCATGGCCGTTAAGCGAATTACATGGTCATTAAGTGAATTCTGGCAAAAGTCCGTTGAGGAAGCTGGATTTGCTTAATGATGTGATTCGCTTAACGACCATGTAATTCGCTTCATGACCGTAGTGATTCACTTAAGAACCATTGTAAAAATGGTCATAAAATCGAGTCTGGTCATGTGGTAACTCACTTAACCGCCCTGCTTAATGACCAATTTTCCAATCCCTATTGTGGTTGTTAAGCGAGGACTACCTGTAAGGTTATAGGGAATAGTGGGCCAGAACCTTACTAGTTTTCCCCCTGATAAATGGGGATTTTTAAGAGTGTTCAGGCTCATCATAGCATAATTGTATTAAAATTACTCATAATATGCTTTTGAAATTTCAAAAGTGCCCACTACCTCAAAATAGATTAGAGAACCCTGAGCTTGAGCCTCCAACTTTAAGGTTGAGGTATAGGGCAATTAGACATACTTGTAGTTCGTCTTATGGAGGAGATGGTGCTGTTCAGGGAGAAAGAATTCTCATCTCGTTCTCTGTCTGCTGAGATACCTCTTCGGGCGGGTAAAATGGAAGAAGGTCTTGGTAAAGAGGAACGCTTTTCGGGACTCTTGGTTATTCCATCCTAATGGAAAAAAACAGGACGCATTTTGATTTTAAACACGCACTCATATTCAGCTCTGATCTAACTTTGTTTGCAATCAAGCCGTAAGGGAAAGCAATATGATAGTAGCACAGAAAGCTGATGAGAAAAGAGAGCAGACTCCAAGGTTGGGGGCAGAAAGTTGACTTAATCTGGCTATGACTGTATCAGTATAGCCTCATTTCCTTTGTATTTAAAGCCAAGAGAGAAAGAATGCCTCTCTGTTCCAAAGTGAACATACATTCATAGACCCACAGACAGATGCACACACTGAAGCTGAATAAAACAACCACCCACACAATACTCGGAAATGGAGGGAGCGGATTCTTGCCCTCCAAAAATTACTTGGGAAAGCCAGAGTTTTTAGGCAGTCCTCTTCTATTGTAGCAAATGGGCTAAACCTACTATGTGGATCTTACGAGATATATAGACGTTGAATAGAATCAAACAATACATTAAGCTTTTTGAACAATCACATTTCTTTTTATAATCTGTAAACTAAATTCTAATACTGGGAGTTATCACAGCTAACAAATCCCAGGTTCTGGCAGGCCATGAAATCACGTATCAGGTCTGTCTCAACTATGTGCCATCCTCTCAAGATTCTGCCCTGCCACTTCTTTGGGTTCTCGAATTTACTTTGTCACCCTGCCAGAATCTATCAGGCACCTGTAACCCAACATTTGCATCTCTACCTCTTCCTTCTCTTGGACTGTTTTTCAGAATGTATTATGGGAACAGTATCATCACCACTGAATTTTCTCATCACTTCTGAGCTGTGATGTTATAGAGGAATGGAGCAGAGTAGTTCTTGTTTACAGAACTTACAGGTGAAGCAGGAGGAGTGACCCCTTGGAAAGGTGCTGAAGCTGTTAATAACATGAACCAATTTAGTTATATTTCTGACTTATATGCTACAGTTCTTTTTCATTTGGGAAAATGGACATCAAGGTGAGATACCCATCTTTAGTACAGGAGGAAAAAGAGTTAAAGATATGGGCATTTGTCTTCATTCTTGTTCTACCTCAACTGCCTTACCTGAGCTGTTTTTGAATAGTCCCTTGGGCCCGCTGAAGAGGGCCACGCAATATAATTGTCTTTATTGCGCAAAGCAACTTTTTTAGTGGTGATTAGTGAGCAAGCAGAGCTGGGTCTTGGAGGAAGCAATGACTTTGCTCTAACCTTTGAGGCAGGAATCTTTGACAAAGAAGAAGTCTAATTATAGGAAAACAAAAAGAAGAATGTAATGGGAAGATGAACAATGAGACAAACAGAAAATGCATGGGATATGGAAAACAGATCACATATCAGAACCTTAAAAACCATTATGTATGCAAATTCTAAGGCATACATGAAAGTAAAGTGGTTACATTGTTCAAACTATAATGGCTATTTTTCAGAAGTCCACTATAGCTTTTCCTGAAGCTACTTTACACTATCACTGGCCCATGCTAATTTTCTATTTTTCTACTTTTAGCCTTACCATCTTTTCCAGGTTTTAAGACTGGAACTGTTAGAGTTTCAGCGATTCACTAAAGAATATTGATATGTCCAAGTTAGGATTCCTATGATTACCAGGCTAAGACTAGACTGTTTTCATTCCAGGTAAATTCAGCCTATATTCATAATTTTTTTACAATGCTATTGTGGAATATAGGTTTTTAGATCTGATAAAAATAAGCCAACAAGCACTTTAAGTTCAAGACCAGGTTCTTAGTGGACAGTATTATACTCTGAAACTGCTATTAAAAACATTATGGAGTTACTAACTGCAGTAGTCACAAACGAACTGCTATGATATCTTGTTAGTGCTGGAGAGAATAGTAGTCCTTGCCTTATGAAGCTTTCATACGTAATTAAATTTAACAAAGCCAATTATGGAAGCCTTATGATATCACTAGCATTTTTGCTGATTCTTTTCCTACTGCAAAACAAAATTGAGAAGGCGCTACTTGTCTTTTTTTTTTAAAAAAAAACTTTTTGTATCAGTAATTTCCTTTCAGAAACTTTTCATCTGAAGTCACACTTAGATGCACTTCCATTGGCTATGTCTTCGTTTCAGTTTTAAATATACAAATCAAAATACTTCCAAGCTCATATATGTGGCCTTCGTAAATGGATATAGATATAAGGGCTGGGTTAGAATTAGATTTAAAAAAGAAGATAATTGGGGCACCTGAAACATGCAATGTGAATATGTTCCAGAAGAATAACCATGTTAGTCTATAAAGGCAAAAAATGAAAAAACTGAAAAGCATAAGAGCACAGAGATGGAATTTGATGGGCACTATTAATATTATGACCTAAGGAGATGTAAGCAACAGGTGAGCATGCAAGGTTTGAGAGATCAAGAAAGCTATTTACAAATCTAATGTTCTAATCCTTTTTTTTTTTTTTCCCCTGAGGAAAATTCTATGAAGTTCATTGAAATAAACTCAAGTCTTCCCAGCCACAAACCAAGAATTGTAACCATCAGGTGACAGCTTAGTTTTAGAGAGAGCTATTGCTAACTATGAAATTTCCTGTGTGTTCAGAGTAGTCAAGGTAATCAGTGGGCTAGCTTGCTACCTGAAAATTATCATTTCAACCCATGGTGGGAATTGGAAGCAAAGGTGTAAGATTTTTTAAATTTACATATGCAACTTACAATTCTTTCACTATCAAATTCTAGAAAGCTGTGGCCTCTGAATAAAAAGAAAAAGGATATTTACTTTCAGCGGGTGGGCAAAGTCCATTAAGTACAAACAGGCAACATTACATAAACATGTTAGATAAAAGGGAGCAGGACAGCCATATGTTTATTCATATATTTGCATGTCCTATGCATGTGAGGATATGAGGTATCTAATTTTTATAACAGAAGGGGTGTGGAGGAGACCATCTCTCTCTCTGTGTCCTGCCTTTCTTTGTAGTTTTCTTCCCAGTCTGGCTCATTTTGAAGCCAGTGCCTGCAGTTATGAAGAACAGCAAGAAAAAGTGGGAGAAACTCATGGTTTCATTCAGGCAATTCTACTGGTAGTCCTTGGTTAACAACTGTTCATTCAGTGACCATTCAAAATTATGGTGGTGCTAAATGAATGGTAGTTACACCCAGTCCCCAAAATTATGGCTGTTGCAGCGCCCCCACGGTCATCTGACCAAATTTCGGGCACTTGGCAGCCTGCCTGCACTTACAACCACAGGGGTGCACCTCCCCCCACCAGTCTATCTCCCTCCCATCTCTGCCCTTTTGACTGCACCAGGTCTTCTTCTGAGGCTGCGTGCGGCCTTGTCCAAATTGTGTGCGGCCTTCTTGCGAGGCTTTGAAGCCTTCCAAAGCCTCGCAAGAAGGCCGCACGTGACTTGGAGAACAGTGTGAACAACCTTGGGAAGGCCTGGCAGGGCCAGCAGCTGCCTTGCAAAGGGCCAGGCCAGGTGTGCCTCATCAGCAGTGGGAGGAAGGTCAAAGACGGCAAAGGTCAGCTGGGGGCAGCAGGGCCAGCAGAGTGCAGGGCAGCCAAAAGGGCAGAGATGAGGGGGAGATAGGTGGGTTGGGGGAGATGAGGAGGAGGCAGTCCCTTACCTTACCAAGGTTTGGTGCTGGGAGGAACCAAGCCGGGAATGGCTTGGATCAGGGTGGGTCCTTGCCTAATGAACAGGTGGGATTCAGTTAACAATGACAACCGAGACTGCTGGGATTGCTGCCACTAAGAGGTGCAGTCATGTGATATCATGCTTTATGATCGCATCACTTAGCAATGGAAATTCTCGCCCCAATTGCCTTTGTTAACCAAGGACTACCTGCACCCAGGCAATCTATAATTTATACATAAATTGTCTGACACATGAACAGCAACCACAACACTCACAGACAACCACACACTCAAGTTTTTAAACAAAGAAATTTAGAAATCCATTCAACCATCTCAAAAACTGTTCTTGCTGATATTTGTTCTCTAAATGTGTTTATACTTGAAACAAGCCAGGGCCATCAGTTTTCTGAATAAAATCAAAAAAGAAAAATGGCAAAAATGTTATGATTTCTTAGGGATTTTGAGATGTTGGTGTACTTTCTGAAGCAGCAGCATGGGTGTAATTGCAATATTGCATGTTTAGCCAATGCAATTGTAAAGTATTTTTTAACAAATTACTCAAAGAGCCAGAATTTTCATCTGTGTAACACTATTGGGCCATTAACTGATCATAAAGACAGTTCTGGTTCCTAACTTCAAACAAGTTTTGAAGTGCAAATTAACACCGAAAGAAGGAGGGCGGAAATATCAGGAAAAATTCCAAAGAATAAGAGCACTGTGACAATGAAACCAATTTGCCAGGGATTTGATAGGCTCCTTTCCTTGGTTATAGTCTGTCAGAGATGCTTCGATTTGAATTCCTCCACTAAGTTAGACTCGATGGCTTCATCCAGTTGTATGATTCCATGGAATTAGCTGCAAAACTCATAAACAGGTATATTTAGAGTGGAATAGATTTTTCCTCCCTACAGACTAACATAGAATGTATTGTCCGGAGAAATAAACATAAAGAGATGGGAAACATTTCAACTCTGGCCACATCCTTTTTCATCCTTCATTTCTTGTTAGAACAAGCATGGTTCAAAAGGGAGACACTCTCCTCCCACCTATTTTTCTCTTCCCGGAAAAGGGGAAAAAAGAAGGAAAAAGAAAGGAGATGGCAATTCTCCCCTCCCAGTTAGAAGTCACCAGCCAACTGAATTCATGGCCCTGAACAAAGGATAGTCATGGAAAACAAAGTACTGTGAATGGTACCTACCACATCTGGAAAAGTGCCTTGTACCTTGGGCAGTCAAACATATTTGTGCATTCCCACTGACATGAATGGACTCCTTCCTTTGTTATGGTTTACAATTGGTGATAAAGCAGGTACTGTTCTATGCTACTGCTGGTAGTTCTTTGTGTTGATTTCCTATTTTATGCTAATGAAATCAGTTTCTCTCTGCATCTTGTGGCTACGACAGCACTGATTATATTGTGTTTCCATCCAGCCATGAGAATCCATGCAGCCAGACTTGCATTTGCCTTGTGACACAGGAGACCTGCACCAGAATCCGGCGGGTGTCAATTTGCTTATCTAGCTGATTAGCATTCAGTCCCAACTTCAGTGATTGGCTGAACTTTGGATTTGCCCTTTTTTTCAGGCACAGCAGCAGCCACTGGCTTTTAAATATACAGAAAGCAGATCAGAGAAATTAGGGCGAAATCAGCTTTAGAGTCAAGTATTTCCCCTTAGGAGAATGAATCAGATTGACAGATTGAAACTAGTGCCAGTGAAGTTCTCAGAACTGCATCCAATTGACTTGAACATAAAATAGAAAGCTTGGTATCTTTTTAATTGTCAATATGTAATTTTGCACAGTACAGCAATTAGAACTTTTTAAGAACCTATGATTAATTTCAAAACGAGTAAAAAAGAAACTATTTGTTTAAAACTGCCAAATGGTTCTTAAAGTTATTTACGACAATAATACCGCCAAACACTCAAAATATACAGACGTGTAAAGTGCATAAGGCAAATTCACTCACTGAAAGTTTTTCCTTTGCTTGCTTAAACACCCCAGGCGTCTGGTTTATTTCACCACCAGCAGCTATTAGAAAATAAGGAGAAAAAATGTTAATGTTTCCAAACCATAATTTCAAATTAACTTTTAACATATTCAGTTTGATTAATTATTGGCCACAATTATTGCTAATGAAAAAATAAATTGCAGCTAGAAAATTAAAAAAATAACACTTTTCAATTTTCACCTATAAAAAATGTTACCACCAGAGGATTACAAAGAAAATTGTGACATTTGGATGATGTGGGATTAGACCATTATATTCAAGCAATCAACAATCATCCCAAAAACATCCCCCATCACTTTTTTAAACATGTGAGCATGAGTAATATTTTGGCCGTGACTTAAAACAACTTACTATAAGCATGTATAGCATCTCCTAGGAATATTACAAAGAAGGGCAAGACTGAATGTTAAAATAAATGAAGAGCAGGACACTGGAAAGATGGCTTCTATTTCCATTGTGTTATCTATCACTTAAATGGCTTGCACATAAACCACATTTACAAACACAAAGCCGTACTTAAAGAAACAGTGAGTAAATACATAGCGGAGCTATCACATTCCATTCTTTTGGTTAACAGCATGGGATCCCTTTAATTCTAGGGTACAGTGTATACCTCTGATTATTTTTCATCTTTCGGGAGATCCTGAACGACACTGGGTTCCCATTTGTCAGTAGGAGAAACTCTGCACATGTGTTTAGTCTACTCTTATATGGTTGCAAAGGACAGTGTGGGCAAGAGTCAAGCATGCAAGACTGGAGTGTAGCATCTCTCACTGATCAGTTCCCAAACTTCCTACTCTGAGCTGGATGGCATGAAAAACGCTTCTATAGTTTCTGGTTGCGTAGATGTTTTCCAGGGTGTCCGGGTGAGCCAAACATCACAGCCTTGAGACCTTCACCATCGCCAAAGGAAGGTTGGGGACAGACACAGGAAGATACCAGTAAGCAGCATGCAGAAATCCCCTCCCCACCCTTTAGCTTTCTGATGCGCAATCTGAGTCTCTGTGCCTAGCCTAACATATCCTATTACGTTAATCATCACCAGCTCATTGCTCGCAGTTGAATTCAAAGAACACAATTGCAGCAGATAGTATGGTTTACAACGTAAATTGTACCAGAGAGGGAGATTTGGAGGGAGTTCCTTAGAATCATTGGAATTATTTCCCGGGTCCAGGGGTGCCAACCATTCCACTGCTTTGCAAGGAAGTGTCTATTATCAGTTTGACTACACTTCCCCAAATTAACCTCTTATATCAAGCTAGAAAATATTGAGAAATAAATTAAAAGAAAAAAATGAAAATAGTGTAGTTTAAGTTGTCAATATTTGGTAGGATGTATTCATCACAAGCTGCCTGCATTATACTTTCTCAGTTCTACTGCTGGTCCCCCCCCCCCCAAGGGTAATAGATTCTTCTGGTTGAATCATGATCCATAGCTATTAAACCAGGGGGAAACGCCTTTACTGATGACTTACCTGAAAGCATAATAATTCTTCCATCTGAACAATAAACCTGGATCATGACTTCGCCCTGTCCCTTGGAGTTCGATTAACAGTTTAATCATGCAAGAAACATGTTTAATTCTGGGACACAAACCATGAAATTTAAGATGAGGAAGACAAACCTAATACATGTTTGTCCCAGTTCAGAGTTTAAGCTGCTGCTTCTGTTTGTCCTATGATATGAATTTTGTGATGTCACAAAGGAAACAAAGTCTTACTTTTTCAACCAACCAAAGACTGCAGTACAAATTTAGATAACATTCAGATGATAACATTCACATTACTGTATTACAATAGTTAAAATCAATATGGTTTCTTCAAAGTTTGCCCCATTGTTGTGTATCAATAAAAACAGATGAAAAGAAACAAATACTGCAAGTGTATTTGATTGCATGAAGTAGCCTTACCCAAAACTTAAGTTTTACCATTACAATTCATACATCCCCATCTAGTTTAGTCTGTCAGAAAGAAGACCCATTAATTCAATGGGACAGATTACAATGCTTGAAATTGCAGCTACAGAAATACCCCCCCCCCCTTAGGGAGCTTTTGAATGTGCAATTAATAGAACTGGCAAAATATGGGACACATTTTATATAAAATGGAAAACATTTTGAAGGTTTTAGGATTTGCAAATCACTTCCTTCTTCAAAGTTCACAATTTGAAACTTGGGTATCTGAAAATAAATACCATATCAATCCTTGCTTTGATACTACACTCTAGTTTGACCTAATACAGCTACACAAAAATCAATCTACCATGAATGAAAGAAAAGCCACTTTATATAAAATGGAAAACATTTTGAAGGTTTTAGGATTTGCAAATCACTTCCTTCTTCAAAGTTCACAATTTGAAACTTGGGTATCTGAAAATAAATACCATATCAATCCTTGCTTTGATACTACACTCTAGTTTGACCTAATACAGCTACACAAAAATCAATCTACCATGAATGAAAGAAAAGCCACTGATCAGTAACAAACAGTTTCTTCCAGGTTCCCTGACCCCCACCCCCGGCCTCCTTACAGCTTTTCTATCGCCTTTTCCACATGTTACGGGAAACTCTTTGTAAGCATAAGCTTCTTAGAACTGTGTTTGCTTTTACTTTCCAGAGGAAGAGATCTGCTGTTGTGTTGGAACTATGGTTAGCTAAACTTTAGTCAGAACATGCCAGCATCTGAACCAGTTTCCTCAGTTCAGATATTAGAAGAAACTGACAAGTTTAAAAATGAAGGGCAAAGTTTTAACTTTCTTATCCCACATAAACAGGAGGAAGGGAGTGGACAAATGTGAAATGTCCTTGATTTGTGTATATAACAGGAAAAAAATGAAAATAAAGAAGGATATAAAAGATATAAAAGGAAAAAACAATATAATTTCCCTCTATTTGCTGATTTACAAGTACATTTGCTACAACCATCTAGAATTCTGGAAAAGTGCAAAGGCACTGGGATGATCAACAGTGATATAACTTTAAATGGATTTGCTATCTGGCCAATATTCTTAAATCTGTGTCATTCAAAATTCAAAATTTCTTGCCTGCTTCTCCCAGGAATTAAGAAAAAAAAAACCTTCAAAATGCCTTTTTTTTGGGCAACCTTTACTATGCTGAGAACACATGTATATAGAGAGATAATATTAGCATATCTCATTTTTGTTGTAACTTCTGAATTGAGTTTGGGATATTAGTGTAGAAGATATAGTTTAATTTTTGCCAAAAACAGGATCAGGAAAAACTAAAACAATGGCTTATTCACCCTTACTTTTTGTCTACTGAGATTAAGCCCAGAGGCAAATGTGCCTCAAAGGTACAATGATTAGCTAATGAGAACCACAGACAATTTTCTAGGATGGGGCATAAAAAATCAAGAAAGGAATGTTCTCCTGCAGCTGATAGTGCTGCTAAGTAGACAATGAAAGTCATGAAAACAATAGAGAATGAGTGTATATGACATTCAACCATATCCATCATTTACTTATCATCATAATTCTTATTTATTGAGTTTTGCTTGGAATAAAAAATATCAGTTAATTAAAGTTAAGTATCGGCTATTAATTTATGGCTGATTTTCCATTCTGAGAAATAAATCAAAGACTTCGCTGTTAACCTTGTCCTCAGAAGTGACACAATGGAAGGAATTTTAGGACTATTATTGGGAACTGAGGCTTTTCTAATGCAAAGACCAGCATTGGCTTTACAGTCATATAGAAACAAAAGAATGGATATGCAACACAGGTACACTCTTAGGAACTTTTATCTTTAATGAGTAGGCAAAACTCTATACTAAAATGCTCCGATTCAGCAACAATTGCACAACATCTGTCCTTTCTATAATGCATGTGGATGAAATTGGAGATGTTGTTGTGGAATTACTTCTGCCACAAATGTGAAAGGATAGACATTTCTGTTGTCACAGCTATGCTACATTTTGCCCAATGTTCTCCTCATAGGAAATAGTGAGTATTCTTACTTTTGGAGATGGAAACCTATGGTCCTTACAGAAAAGTAGAAGAAAAAGGCCCATTCACTGCTCACTACCACCCTCTTTAAAGACAACAAGGTAATGAAAAAAACTTTTAAAGAAAAAGGAGCCCTTCTTTTTTAAAGAGAGGGCCGGGACACTCTTAACAGAGAACTTCTCAGGACTTTGAATAAAGAAGGCTGATGCATTTAAAAACAACAACAACATTCTTTTAGGTTTCACTGTTTAAACTATCATGGTTTCAAGTTTATTTTAACAATAGTTTTAAGAAAACATGAAATCTAAATGAAACCCCAAGACCTAAAGCTATTGGAGTCCAGACATTGTCATTCAGATACTTGAATTATATATAGTGCACGATCAACTTCTTCAATCAAGAGAAACATGCATAAATCACAAAATGTTCTGCAGTGCAATAGATGATAATATATTGCTGAGTTGCAGTTTCTTATCTTTACAGAAGTCCCAGTAAGGACAAATCTGTACTACAATTTTATAAAATATAGCAGCCTTTTGTCAATAAAGATAATGAAAAATGAATTTACCAGAAATCTGTTATTAAATAAATCTCTGTAGCTTTAAATTATTACTCAGCATTAGATTGGAGATGCATGAATATAGTCTGTTAACAAGATTCTTTTCATCTATAAGTTATGGATTGGCACTCTAGTTTTACAATCTTATATCCACAGAAAGGCTAGAGGAGGAATATTTTGGAATTGCCAGGAAAAATGTTTTCCTGGAATTAGCAGCATTATCTCATGCACATTGTAATTCTGTATATAAAATAAAGAGATCAAGACTGGTATTTATTCATCTCCCCTTTGATGGTAATAAAGAGCACATGTGACCAAACATGTAAGAATAAGATGCATATTCCAATCGATTCTTGCATGTAACCCAACTAAAATTACTAACAATTGTCCAAATCAGTCCTCCAAAGGATTTGCACAAATGCTGCTCTTTGTGGATTATCTCAATTAACCTCTTCAACTGCAAAGCATTGCACAATCCAAGAGCTTCATATCCTAAATA